CAATCATGAAATTCATATGGAAAAATAAAAGACCCAGAATAGCAAAAACAATGCTAAGCAGGAAGTGTGAATCAGGCGGTATAGCGATACCAGACTTCAAACTATATTACAGAGCAATAGTAACAAAAACAGCATGGTACTGGTACCAAAACAGGCGGGTGGACCAATGGTACAGAATAGAGGACACAGAAACCAATACACAAAACTACAACTATCTTATATTTGATAAAGGGTCTAAAAGCATGCAATGGAGGAAGGATAGCATCTTCAGCAAATGGTGCTGGGAAAACTGGAAATCCATATGCAACAAAATGAAACTGAATCCCTTTCTCTCGCCATGCACAAAAGTTAATTCAAAATGGATCAAGGAGCTTGATATCAAATCAGAGACACGCCGTCTGATAGAAGAAAAAGTTGGCTACGATCTACAGTCAGTGGGGTCGGGCTCCAAATTCCTATAAGTTGTTTTTATTAGTGATCCTTATTGAGAAATTTATGTATGTAAAGAAATGTCTATATGTATGATTGCACAAATTATGTGACTCTGCATTGTGTATAACCAGAGAAATGAAAAGTTGTGCTCCTTTTGTGTACAATGAGTCAAAATGCATTCTGCTGTCATGCATAATTAGAACAAATAATTATAAAAAAGAAATGTCCACCTCCTTTCCCACCATCTTCTAATGAAAATTTGTATTTTTCATCCAGATGCTTAGGTGTCATACAAATCTAGACTAAATACATTAACTAAGCAATATGTTTAAAGGATCAATTAATGTTCACACTTAGTACAAATATATAAAAAGCAAAACTACTCCATAAACTTTCTTAATTATTTGGAGTGAAATGGTTGGGATTTCTTTAAAGTGTTGATAACTTAATATTTCTTTTTTATATATTTACTTTATATTTCATCTATATGTCATATTTTATATTTCATTATATGCTCTGTTTTTGACTTCATGTAATTTGTATAGTATTTTTTTTTAGTTTGGTTGCTTCTTGATAGCTACATAGTTAACATTTGACGTTTGTCACTATCCTGTGTTTCAGGGACTCCATGAAAAGACTGGTGCATTTACAGCTGTTAAAGTGATGAATGCGCGTAAGGTAATATTATACTCTCTCTGTGTTCTGTTCCATTAATGGATAGTGTTCTTGGGATAAACATCTCAGAAAATATTTTGTTTTAAAATCGTTGTTTTATGTAATTATTGTTATCTTAATCTGGATCTATTATACTTGTCACTTAATAATATTTATACACATTAGTATACTGTACTTATTGGTTCACTATATTCCCACATTTGTGTTGATGGGCTGGGATTGTGGCTCATTGGTAGAGCGCTTGCCTAGCATGTGCGAGGCTCTGGGTTCAATCCTCAGCACCACATAAAAATAAATAAATAAAATAAAGGTATTGTATCCAAGTACAACTAAAAAAACAAATATTTTTTTAAAAAGAGAAAATCTGAGTTGAAAAAACATACCGATTCACAGAACTGTTGTCAATATCATAGATTTTTTTTCCAATTTGTTTAGGAAGTGAGGCTGCAACTATTTAGAGACTTGTGTGCTTTTCGTTGGAAAAATATGAAACGTTGGAAACCAATCTGAGTTTCAATGGATTTTGAGGTTTTGTGAATTCATTTTGCTCTGCAAATCATGGCTTCAAAATTATCAACCTCGGTCTTTTTTGAATGAGAATCTAGAAAATATTTATTTTCTTGTTTTGGCTTGAGACACCTGGACCCACTTCTAATCTATGTTTCGGATACTCGGATTTTTGAAATATTTAAAAATCGTGTTTAGCCGATAGATGATTGGTGTTAATTACCTGTGTTTATAAATGGAAAATAGTACTTTACTATTATTTAACTATAATTTTCCCATTAATATGGCAGTTACATCTATTACCATGAATGTTGTGCCAAGTTTCTATATATAATAAGAAAGAACTATTAGTGAGACTCGAGAGGAATAATATTATCTTACTATTTAATTTAGTCCTAAAGGAGTACAAAATACTTAAGCATAAATCATTTTCAGAATGGACCAGTAGGTTTAATAACATTTTGTTCTTGGTTTTGCAGACTCCTTTACCTGAAATAGGAAGGAGGGTGAGAGTGAATAAATATCAAAAGTCTGTTGGATGGAGATACAGCGTGAGTATTAAAAGTGCTCATTAGCCCAGCAGTCCTTCCTTTAATTTTCAACTTTAAACTCATCAATTTGAATTGTCATTATTTCTATAAGGCTGCCCCTGAAGTTTTCTTGCCTAGAAGTGATAATATATTTATATCTTGTAACATGTTCACATAGATTCAGTCATCATATTTGAACACTAGCATTTGTCAAAGAGCGGGGCCTAGAAGAAATTGTCATCTGAACAGGAAAGTGTTGGCTGCCGAGGAAGGATGTTAAGTACATCTACAGAATATGGAGGCTTCCCACTGGGTGGTAACAAAAGAGGTATTGATGGGACCAAGAGCAAATTTTGCCTAAAACTGGCCTTGGAAATGTCTTTTGCACACCTTGTGCATGTGGTCTAGACTAAATAGCTTCTCTCCCATATGACTCTAACAAACATTGACATTATATATGAGCCAAATGATGGTTTTCCCCTTTTTAAAAAATATTGTTATTTGTAGATAGACACAATACCTTTATTTTATTTATTTATTTTTATGTGATGCAGAGGATTGAACCCAGTGCCTCACACGTGCTAGGCAAGTGCTCTGCCACTGAGCCATAACCCCAGCTCAGCTTCCCATTTTTATTTTAAGAGCAATAGCAGACAGAACACCGACAGGTTACCCTGACTAAAAGCCTTCAAACATCTGGCAGCTGCACTTGAACACATGGAGGATTGTGAAGATGTAATTTACTTGTAACTTTTTGAGATATCTCTCATCCTAACTGGCTCAAAAATAAGCTCAGGCAAATAAAATTATCTTTTCAATAGATGTTGGTATTATATGGACCTAAAAGCAGAATTCCCACTCTTATCAATAAAATTCATTGCTATTTTCTGACATTTCTCCCCCATTCAACATAAGAGATTTAGATATTTCCAGCCTTTTGTGCCTTAATAAATATACTACCAGCACATTAAAAATAACATTTTCTATCAATACCATCATATTTGGGATCTTTCTATTATATTAGAAAAGTATTGCTAAACAGATTCATGATTTATCTTTTAAGTACTGGTCCCCCTTTATTTATATAATTTATCTTGAGAGATAAGGCATATCCAAAGGAAACAGTTATAACAGTCTTTAGAAGATCAATAGGTCACAAAACATATGGTATGAAAAATATAATTGTTTGACAGATTCTGATTTCATCAAACACTTACGTTAATAAAATTCTTTAAAGATCTTACCCCCAAACTTTTCTGGTATTTTTCCATAGTAAAACGGATTTTGATTCTAGAATTTGGTGAAATTACAAAGGAAGTTCTGGCATATTTTAACTGACTCTTCTTGACAAAAAGCAGGGTATTCAGGTCAGCCTCAGATCAACTGGCCTTCAGCCAGGAAATGCTGTAGCATCATATTACAGGCGATGTGTAAGAGTTTCAAATTACCCACTTGGCCTGATGGATATAATGTACTTATGTGTTTCTCACAAGCTCAACTTCCTGTTAATTGAGAGTGGCAAATACACTAATGCTTTCCAAACATATCTGATCTACATTTATTTGTTTTGGGGGAGTTTACATTTAAATAGGAGTTTACATTTAAACCTACTCTTGGTATTTTTTTTTCTTTTTTCTCCTAGTCAAGGACTTTGATTTTCTGATTATTTAGTAAGAAAATTCACTGCTAGCTAATCAGCCATTTAGCATCTTCAAAACACCTTTATTCCTTTGGGTCAGAAAGTATGTGACTTGCTCACACATCTTGTAGATGTCAGGGGTTCATGGAAATAGCAATAATGTGGAAATTTAGAAAAAAGTTCAAACCCAAAGTCTACCACCAATGAGACAAAAAGTACTTGGAAGAGTGGTCTTTTTATGTCTCTAGACCTCAGGTTTCTAATAGGTAAAGTAACTCCACAAAAACTCCTTCCCTACTAAGAGTTCAGCTATTCTCCTATTCTTGCTAGGTGATATTAGCTTTGTAACAAAGAAAGAAAAGCAATCTCCTTGACATTAAAAAACCAAACAAGACTCCGTCTTGCCTCTGCTTCTTTTTAAGTTGTTATTTGTATTCCTAGCTTCACTCCAGCATCTCATTCCTATTTATTATAGTATTATGAGTTCATATTCCTCTTGGTAGAATCTTAATATTATAAGCTGAGAGTACATACAAAATGGCTAGTCTCTTTGGGTTATTTCTATATGGTACCAGATATTGTTACCATTTCAAAGGAGGGCTACATCACAGAGATTCATGGAAGTCTAAGAGCCTTCCAGAAATGACAGAAATGAAAGCCACAGGATTAACTTTTACCTTTGTAGAAAACAGATTAAAGGAATTTGAAGGGGATTTATTAATTCATTTGCAAAGTTAGGATGAGACTCAAGCCTGTACTTCTATGTAATTCCTCATGCTATAAATGGGTAGTTTTATTCATTTATGCCTTCATTTTGCAATAAATAGAAAGAACCTTTCACCTTTCACTGGGGGAGTTCCAACTGTACAAATGAGGCTCCATCCCCTTCCCCAATAAGACAAATAGGTACCTAAATTTATTTTCTAAAAGTTGAATGTTTATGGATAAATTCACTGAAAAATCCTAGGAAAATGCCAAATAATGCTCTGCAGCTTCCAGCTATTTCTCTCAGATTTTTAAATGATACAGAAAACTATAGACATTTAGGAGGAGAAAAGCTAATTTACAAGCAAAAAAATTGATTCAACTTGGTGACACTATGAAGCCTAGTGCATTTCCTTATATTTATTTCACGAGTATATTTAAAACTAAACATTAAAAGTAATTGCCCATTTTACTGCTGGGTTTTAGAGAATAAGCTAAGAAGAAAACTGATTACTGAATAGATATATTCAGTTACCTATTCAATTCAGCTAAGAGACTTCTTTCCTCAAGTCATTAAGTCAGGGTAGTTGATAAAAATGCTAGGAAGAAGTAAAAATAATTGTCAGTTAACCCCTTAATTGTTTTTTACATCAGTTGTCCCTGTCTTGGTTCATTGCCCACCAGAAGCCAAAAATATCTTTTTTTTCACTGAAATTCAGAAAAGGAAATCTTTGTATTTTTATTTAGAATCTCTATTTTTTACTTTATAATCTACAAAATATTTCATTTTTGACAACAAAAATATTTCTAAAATGTTTATATAAATGAAACATTTCTAGATACAATGGAAGAGTCATTTTATTTTCAATCAAATATAATCTAGAGATAGTAGGCATTCAAAGGAGCCCAGTGGTGAATCTATTTTTCAAGTGCAGAATTCCTTCCTGAGTCATCTAACATCGTCTTCCAATTTGTTGTTCACTGTCTTGTATTAATCATTGTCAATTTCATTCCTACATATGAATCTTACTCCCTGTGATTGCTTAAGTTAGAACCATACTACTTAAATGCACAAATCAACAATATGTTCATTATAAATTTCTAGCAATCTAAGATAACTTTTTTGTAATATAAAATTTTCATTTTCTGCATGCATCTCACCTATATATATGAAAGTATAGTAATTTTCAATTTATTAAAAGTGAGGATTTTTTTCCTAGATTGGCAAGAAATAAGGGTTACAGAAGAATTATCAAACTACTTGGTTGACATGGTACATGCATACATAGATGAACTTAGGGAGAGACAATTGCTTCTTATTTTATTTCACTATAACAAATGTACTGGGAATGGAGAGTGCTAATGTTTGTAGATTAAGGAAAAAAGTAGACAGAATTTCTCAGTTCTGATAGAACTCTAATTCAACCAAGAGGTCAAGTAATACAAGATATTTTGTAATAATAGCTTGTATTTATTCATTTTTATTCTGAATATCTCAAAGAACTTCACATATTTTATCCCATTTGGCCCCACTAACTTGTCATTCCATGGAAATAGGAAATGGTCACCATCTTCCTTTAAAAAAAAAAAAGGAAAATGAACCTTGGAGAGATTTAAGTGAGAATTTCCTACTCTCAAATCAGTGCTAAATCCTAAGAGTCCTAATGCCCATGGTAGGTGCTCTTTTCTGACTGATGCCATACTGTATTATGCTATAGCTGTCTTGTGAAAGTATGTGTTCTACTTGAGTGATCTCATCCAGTCAGAAGGCTTCAATTATCGCTATACAGATCATTCTTAAAGGCAATACCTGTAAGCCTGATCCCAGCAACTGAGCATTAGACCTATATGTCTGTTCTATGCAGTCTTATGCAGCCATAAAAAGAAACAGAATTTGCTTATTGATATAGATAAATGTGTTTTACATATTCATAAAATGTTTGAATTGAAAAAATAGAATAATATTAACTTGTTTAGATTTAAAATAAATATCATGTATAATATATAAATATAAACATGTGTCTTTTCATCATATCTTTATCCAGTCATTCCTCTATTGTATCAGCATATACAACTCTCTGAAAGAATTTATACTATAAACTGCTAAAATGATTGGGGGAAAGATTTAGTGAGAATAGACCACTTGTACATCTTGCTCCGTATACATGTACCACCACTGTGATTAGGAAAATAAAGTATTTTAAACATTTTAAAAAGATTGGTAGAGAAAAAAAACAGTGCCTCTAAAATGTAATAAATTACAGACTAATAAATACAGTGTGATACTAGATATCCACATACAAAAGAATTAAGATGGGCCCTACTTTATAAAAAAAAAAATTACTCGAAGTAGATTAGATACCTAAATGTGAGAGCTAAAGTAGTAAAATGCTTAGAAGAGAACACAAGAGTAAATCTTTGTGACCTTTGGTTTGGCAATAGATCTTTAGATATGACACCAAAAGTACAAGCAACAAAATAAGAAACCATCAATTTGGAATTCATAAAAATTAATTTTTGTGGCTCAATGTATAGTATCAAGAAAGTTTAAGGAAACTTAGAGAATGGGAGAAATATTTGCAAATTGTATATTTGATAAAGTACTTGTGTCTACAATATATGAAGAGCCCTTAAAAATTTAATGTTGAAAAGAAAACCCAACTTTTAAAAAAGGCAGAGAATTTTTATAGACATTTCTCAAAGAACATATACAATGGATAATAAGCACATGAAAATATTTTCAAGGGCTGGGGATGTGGCTCAAGCGGTATCGCGCTTGCCTGGCATGCGTGCGGCCCAGGTTCGATCCTCAGCACCACATACAAACAAAGATGTTGTGTCTGCCAAAAACTAAAAAATAAATATTAAAATTAAAAAATATATATTTTCAATATCATTAGCCATCAGGTTATAATATATCAAAACCACAATGACATACCATGGTCCACCCACTAGAGTGGTTATAATAAAAAAAGAGAAAATAACAAGTGTTGGTAAAGGTATGGAGAAATTGGAACCCCCTTTATATGTTGCTGTTGGGAATTTAAAATGGTACGGCCACTATGGAAAATAGTTTGGAATTTCTTCAAATATTCAACAAAGTTATCATTTGATTGAGGAATTTCACTCCCTAGATATATACCCAAGAGAAATGAAAACATCTATTGACACAAAAACTTGACATAAATCTCATAGAAGCATTAATCACAATGCCAAAAAGGTATAAATTTAACCCAAATGTATAGCAATTAATGAATGATAAACCCATAGGAATGGAATACTAATACCTGGTACAACACGGACAAACTTTATAAAAAGCCTAGTCATAAAAGACCACATATTATATGGTTTCATTTATATGAAATATCCAGTATATAAACAGAAAGTAGATTGGTGGTTGATTAGAACTAAGGTATGTGTTGGGTAGAATTTGGGGGTGATACCTAAAATGTATGTAATTTCAGTGTGATAAAAATGTTCTAAAATTGAGTGTGATGATTGTACAACTCTGTAAATATACTAAAAATCACAGAATTTTATACTTTAAATGAGTAAACAGTAGGGCGCATGAATTGTATCTCAATAAAACTATTTAAAAAGAAACTAAAATGGTATCATTCCATTCAATGAAAACTTTATATAATGGTCAGTGCTGATGGGCCATGGAACACTGAGAACTGCTGAATTGATAAGAGATCATGGACTTACCCTTTTTCTCTCAAATTTCAAGTTAACCAGATATCTCCATTCACTGATAATTCTAGCTGAGATTTTATTATGTAGGATAAATTGGTTGCATAGGATTTTCGATTGTGAATCTCCTATAGAGATCAATAGTCATTGGATTGCATAGCTTTGAAGCTTAGTTGACTCTTTTTATTCTATAGGATGAGGAAGAGGATCTCAGGACTGAACTCAACCTTCTGAGGAAGTACTCTTTCCACAAAAACATTGTGTCTTTCTATGGTGCATTTTTCAAACTGAGTCCTCCTGGTCACAGGCACCAACTTTGGGTATGTTTTTAATTACCCTGATCTTATTCAATAAGAAAAGTTTTACTCAAGGATATACATTTTCATAAGCTAAAATGTTACTTCTGGGAACCTACTTGGAAAAGCTAAGCAGTCAACTACTCAAGGTAGTATGGCAAAATATACTCTGATGAATGGAGATGGGCATGATAAAGTATGGGAAAATAACTTCTGTGACTGGCAAGAGCTAATTCAGAAGGGTGAGGGAGGACTTGAATGAACACTGGAAATATCTAACAAATATTTTGAAATGCAGCTTGACTGCTTTTAACTTTAAATAATTTCCATTGTGCTGTTGAAGCTTCCTAATGAATTATAATATAGTTAATGGATAAGGATCATTTCTCACTAGCAGTCAACAAGAGCATGAAGAGTGCATTTTAAATGTTTGCAAAATATATGTATACTTGAGTAAATTACTTCCTAGAAATTCTTTTCTAAGGGTTAGATGACTTCTCCTCTTCTTAGCCATGGCTGGGGTATCACAAATTCTGGATTAATGAAATATAAATTCTAGAGGCTAATTACACCATATGTTAACTAGGCCACAGCTACCAGAATATGTATTCTATTTATACCTATTTCTACTGTATTATAAAGAAAATGAGCTTTCAATGATGTCTTTATTAAAAATGGAATATTTAGAACATAATTGGAGTCATTGTATACATGAGCTCTATACTTTCTACATTTTCATTTACACTCCTAGTCAGTAATTGCATTTGTTTGTTTGAAAATAGTGACTTAAACTTTTCAGGATCTTCAAGTGTCAATGGATGATTCTATTGTATTCTATATAATGAACTTGAGGAGTAGGACAGTGAATACTATAAATTTTCAGCTGGGGGTTGAATTGAAACAGAGGTTCTCAAACCTTAGCATGCATCAGAATCTTCTGGTCAGCCATAAAAAACACAGAATGCTGGAGGACACTCACAGGGTTTCTGATTCTGTAGGTTAGGGATGTGTGTAAAATTTGTACTTTCTAATAAGTTTATAGATGATGTTAATGTTGCTGCTGAGCGCCACACTCTGAGAATCACCAAATTTAGAGATCTTCAATTTAACTCTATTTTCTTCCAAATGTCCAGTTAACTCAAATCTTGTATTTGCTGACAATTCTCATAGACATTTTAGTAAATTTTAGTCACAGCTTACTGGTTACTTTTTTGCATATACCATTTGTCCTTTCATATATTTTTCTGTATAAAATTTTTCCTCTTGACAATATGGCAAACTATGAGAAATGTTGTAGTCTCCTTATTGGATATGCATTACTAGTACTCAGTTCATTCAGTCATTCAATATACATTCATTGAAAAATCACCTATTTGCCAGACATTCTACTAGATACTGGGGATACAATGGTAAGCTGAATAGACATGACCCTGGACAACTGTAGCTTGCAGTCTACTTGCAAAGACCAATGTCAATCATACATTCACAAAAATAAATGTCTACTTAGAAGGAATATAACATGATTATATTTGGGTGGAAAACAAAGGAACTTAAATTAAGCTGAGGAAAGAGGAACTTTTCCTTGAGGAAATAAAAGCTTGAACTGCTATCTGAAAGATGAGAAAGCATTTAATGCATAAATTATTTGTGGAAGTAAGAGTTTTTATGGGATCACTAACACTTTATAACCCATGTAAATCAGAAAATAAGTAAATAGATAATTGCCATTTATAAAGTATATGAGCCAAGCACTGTGCTTACAAGGCTGGAAAATGATTGTGAATATCTCACATTCCTCTAATAATTGAGATATTCTCACATAATATTAGAAAGATCTTTAGGGTCTAAGGTGAACAACTTTAATTAAGATCTGTCATAGTTCAAAATGATCCCCTTTTCTTTTATTACCATTCTGTATATGTTGTACCCACATAAAAATCAACTTTTTTTAGTTTATCTGCATTGTTGATTTCATTTGGCTATCCCTCTCCTCTTTTGAAGAGCACATATTCAGTTCAAAGACATTCAGGTCAAAGACATACAGTGGTAAACAACTATAACATTAATGTTTCCAAAGGCAATAAGGCAGATTGTTTTGAATATTCAGGGTTTTATTATTATCCTTTTGCTTTTGTTCATTTATAGTGACAAATTGCCTATAGATTAAAAAAAGACATTTTTGCTGCTTTGATAAAATAGTTTTAACATAGGCAGTGATGTATAAACCTGCACTTAAAAGAAAAGTTTGGTAGGTTCATTATAATAGTCGTATTCTCCTTCATATTGGTCTCTCCTCTAGTTAGCCAATATTATTAAATGTAGTTTATTGGTTGGATACTCAATTCATTGGTCACCAAAATAAATTTCCTGAGAAATTGTGTGTATTAATAGAAAAAAATCAGAATTAATATTTTCAAAGATGTTAGTCTTATTTCCTTGGCAGGAATTGCATTTGGAAGAAATTATCCTACAGGAATTCAATAGAAAAATTTCCCCTTTAAGTTATAGCTGCCTGTATCTTGGAGAAAATAAACTGGAATTTGAAAACATAAATAAAACAATGACAACTAAACTTAGTCTTGATATGGAAATGTAAATTCTTTTGACCCTCCACATCTTACTTCACTTCAAACCAAACAGTTATCTCTATTATCCTTTCCACTTAAGATTCACCTAAGTTTGTCCCGTTCACAAGCTTATTTCCAAGGCCATTATTCATTCTGTTTTCCATAAACCTAATGTTCTTTTTCCAAGCATTTCCAAACATTACCTATGATTCAAGGATTATTTTAAATCCCTCCTCCTGGTTAAATATCTCTGAGACAATAACTAGTTTCTCTCCCTCCACAAATTCTTTCTAATTCCACTAGTCTTTGGAGTTTTCCACCTGACAACTGAGCCAGGTTTGCAGTGCCTTAATCTCTAAACATTACATACAGATACAAGCTATATGTACTGGGAATTCTTAAGATATTTTCACAGAATTACTTTTTAATTCTTTATACTTTCTTAACTTCCCCACAGATGGTGATGGAGTTATGTGCGGCAGGCTCAGTCACTGATGTAGTGAGGATGACAAAAAATCAGAGTTTAAAAGAAGATTGGATTGCTTATATCTGCAGAGAAATCCTTCAGGTATGCCTTCATATAATCATTTTTCTTGATCTTGAAAGAACTTGAGAAAAATATGCAGATGTACCTTATACCTCCTATCTGATTGTTTAAGACTGTTTAACTTAACTTATGGATCAGGGAACCTAAGAAGACCAGAAAACTTTGGAGAAAGCAAACGTTGAGATAATGTCCCTCAACTTTAAGGTACATCACAAAATGGGTTAACAATTCTTTGCAAATCATGGCCTTTAATAGTTTTTTCAGATTCATACTACTGTGTTAAATTATCAGGGAAATGACCACTGGGATTATATATTATGTTGATTTTAGAGCTATTTCTAAAAAGCCATAGCACTATCATCATAGATTAAGATGAAGGTGAGTCAGAAGTCACTGATCTACAGAAAATCTGCACCCATCTTTTTCCAGACAGATATCATTTTTGAATACTGCCCCACATTTCTTTTCTTTATTTCTAATACACAGTTGGATAAAGGCAACAATATTCTTGGTCTACCAGTCTCATTTTTTAGTGTGTGACTTAAGTGTTTAGGGTCAGAGAAGAAGATGTGACTGGAACCAAATAGTACCACTCTACATTGTTTGAATATACTTTCTGGGATTTTGGTTGGATTCACTTGTGATGTTAGTGTAAATGGTTATGAGTGCAAACTCTTGACTGAGTTGTAATTCCATCTCACCTACGTTAGCCGTGTGATCTTAAGTCAATTACATAATTTCTCCAAGTCTCTTTCCTTGTGTGTAGTATAGGGTGATATTGGCACCATCCTCAAATGGTTGCTTTAAGGATTTAACAATTTACTCCGTTTAAAGTACTTTGCAAAATGTCTGGCAAAGAATAAGGGCTCAATAATTTTTCACTGTTTTTATTTTTACTTCTATTATTACCTCCCAGTTAGCATCTGAAGCAGTCTCACTGCAGCCTAATACTGCATACCATATCATGGTTTAGCCAGGTCACGGGTTAGTTTTAGTGGTGAGTGGGTTGAAGCCAGCACGGTAAGCCAACACAAATTGCAAATGCTTTAAAATGAATTTCCATATTACCTCAAATTCTCAGCCTACAAGGCTGACTTGAAAATATTTTGGACTAAACAAATGGTTGGATGAGGAATAGAGCAAAACTATGGCTGAGCTCTGATAAAGTTAGTATGTCCAGGTCTTTACTGTTATGGTTAGTTGGAAATATGGAGGTTAGAAAGGAAGGTAAAGTGACCCAATGTATACAAACATTACTTCTTGGTGTTCTTTTTCTTTCATGGGTGTCCTGATTTATTTTCCTTTCCTTATAGCCAAAAGTAGAATTTCTGGGAATTGGTTGTATTAATTCCAGCGTAAAGAAAGAATTTTGCCTGACACATCAACTCTGGGCCATTTTTCTTACCAAAAATTTTCTCCAAAATACTAATAATAGTACCAGAAAAGAGTAAAATATATACTAATGTGACTTTCTTTTTAACACATATGCATACAGGGCTTGGCTCACCTTCATGCACACCGAGTAATTCACCGGGACATCAAAGGTCAGAATGTGCTACTGACTCATAATGCTGAAGTAAAACTGGGTAAGTTTCTTCTTGCAATATTTAAGGTGAGGGTCAAAACATTTTATGAAGAAAATTCCTTTAGGTTAACTGTGCTCTTTATCACTAACAATATCCTCTACTTAGTTGAGCTGAGATTCCCCTGCTTAGAAAAATCAATCAAATTTTAAAATTTTGTTTGGAAGGAAAGGTGGGGGAAAAGAAAAAGGATGTTACCAACCACTTCTTTGAACTAATGTTGATTAAAATATCTTAAATTATAATGGGGATTACTTTTTGGTCAATGTTTTACCATCTATTAGAGATACCTATTATATTCATTTCAACAATTAAATGGAGGATTTACCATGTGTGAATTTCTGTGTCATTGGCAGGAATTTCAAAAATTACACATCTCAGAGCCATGTTTTCTCAAGAATACCAAAGAATTTTTAAATTACTTAAGCATGAGTTGTTTCTTTGCATTTTCCCTCAATTATTTAAAGAAAATATGTCATTTGGAAGTGAAGCTCTAATAATATCCAAATCAAATTCAGAATTAGAAATCAAAGGACAGAAAGTCCCTAGCTTATTATTTTAGGAATTAGAATGACATAATTCATTTGAAAAAAAAAATATATATATATATAGTCTCACAGGTAATAGGGAACAACAATATATTATACCTTTTAATATTTAAAAAAACACTGATGGTTGGTTTTTCAATAATACCACATAAACTAAGTCAGTACTACATAATGGCAGATAACCCCATTAATTCATTGATATAAAACATAAGTATTGTGTTTTTTAATTATATCAACTCTTTTTTATCATGTGTCTTAATATGACCTTAACATATTTTCCATTTTCTTGCTAAACAAATAGAATCTGCATAGAGACTTTGGTAATTCATTGAAAACAGTTTTTAAATGGATTTTGTGGAAAAGTATGAAGTAATAATTGTTCTTGAAATAAGTGAAAGTAGTTTCCAGAAAATGTATCATTCTTTTTCTACTTAAAAGTTACAAAGCTAGAAGCACAATTTTAAGAAACTGCATTAAAGCACATAAGAGGCATTATAGATTTCAAGTTCAATCGTGCAGGATGTATAAACCACCATAAGGCTAAGCATTATGTTCATGAGTACAGCAACACTTCCCTAAGCTTGGGTCAAGTTGCTTGCCAATCCAACCATTTACAACACAGAAGAGAAATTGTTAAGTGAAAAAAAAATCACTAAAATATTGGTTCACTCTGGTGGAGTGCTGGATTCAAATTTAATCAGGCTTATTACACACATAATTCTCTCACAACTTGTTTTAGATTTCTCAGATCCTCACATATTTTTTAAAACAACATCTTATGAGAAGTTTCCAGAAGGCAAACCTAATGATAGGCAAAGGAAGTGATGGAAATGAAAGAGACACAAAAATAAGTATATTGTGGTTGCAATTGATCAATAATCTTCACATTTCAAGCCTTAATGTTATTAAGGAAAAGGTTAAACTATGACATTGTTGAGGTTTCTACTATACCCTTCATCTTAATTTTAACTTTCTCATCTATTTTCCCCTATTCTTCTATTCATCACTCTTTCTTCTAATCTTTTCTCTTTTGATTTTCTCCCCTGGAATGTACACCATGTATATCAGCTTATGGCTATCACAGGTTATTTCTTTGCCATTAAAGTTGGCCATTAAGGATAGTGGAAATGCTAAGCTCCAAGTTAAACTAGTTCTTTAAAAATTATAGATAATGAGATTTTGCAGCACCCAATGGTGGTCTTCACAATATGAACGTGTGTGTTCGTGTTCTTGTTAGACCTTTCTTAAACTGTCTTGAACTATCAGGGTTTTTCTTTTCCTTTTTCTTTTCTTTCTCTAAATTCTTCAAGCTGTTTTTCAGTCAGTTTTGTTCACCATCATCTAGATTCCTGGAAACCATTCTAAATTAGAAAATCTACTTCATTTTTCATCCCTGTCTTATTTTTTCTGGAATACATAACCCTGGTCTACTTCAGCCTATTTTCTGTCTGTTTCTGAGGATACCATACTAAATATTTTCTTCTAATGTATCCCACAGATGAATAGGAGACTAAACTTTCATAGCCTAAGTTAAGATATATGTACCACAGTAAATATTTGCATCTGATTCAGAAAATTTGTGTAAGCATTTAAACTAAATTCCAGAAAAAAACTCAATTTTCTTTATCATTGACATTAGGACTTCCTAATGTTATGAGTGAGAGCTTCCTAAGCAACTACTAATATGTTTAACATTTCTTAGATGATGCTTATACTGTTATTCTTCCTCTAGCTTGGTGGCAGGTCCAAATACTACATATGTTATCACTTCAGAGGTTCAGAGTGTACCAGTGGAACTTTATTTTTAATATTCATGGTAAACATACAGCCAAACCTACTGTAGATTTATAATAGCACTATTGAGTCTCATTCCAACATAAATAGCAGCAAAAGCTTACTTCCCAGTATTCCTGGAGTAGAATTCATGGTAAAGTTTTCAGAGCTGGAATGAAAATCTGTTACCCATTGTGGCTTTTGTATTGGCTTTCCAAGTTAAAGCAATAACTTATTGAGCTTTTTGTTCCTGATTAATTATTTTGACATATGCTGAATTTTGCAGTGGATTTTGGAGTGAGTGCCCAGGTGAGCAGAACTAATGGACGAAGAAATAGCTTCATTGGGACACCATACTGGATGGCACCTGAAGTGATTAACTGTGATGAGGACCCAAGACGCTCCTATGATTACAGAGTGAGTATAAGGATTCAGATATTGGGAATCAAAATTTGGAAAGGATTTTTGATGAACATTTAATGATAAAATATTATAGGAAAAAGCAGGCAGCTCCTCCCTTCATATTAACTTTAAGAGGAAAAACTAGCCTCTATTTCTCTATGTGGTTTGATAGTATATGTGAAAATAATATTTTCTATGAATGTAGAAAAAGTAGACAATTGGGAGTTATTCAAATTTGAGGGGGAATCTAGTTCATGTTGCTTGCAACTACTTGGTTAAAAAATATTATATTATGTGGCTTTATATGGAACTTTAACATCCAGGGACAGAGGATATTTTAAACTTATAAATGAATAAATGTAAAGCCAATTATTAATCTGCACAATAACTTAGCTCCAAAAAGAAAAAAAAAACAGATAATTTGATTACTCAGGGTAACAGAGAAAATCTTTGGCATGTTGTTCACTTCTAAAACCACAGAGAATCAGTGGAATAGTCAAATTAAGTAACAATTTGTGCTATTTATTAAAATTTCCACTGAAATTGCAATTTGGACAATATACATCTATGTACACATTTCAAAAGGCTGATGTGGAAAGAAGGAAAACTCTCCATTTGCTATAGACTGGAAAAACCTCACTCACTCTCCACATCATAAGTCATCCAAACAATTCATTGTGGTCTCCCTGTGTGGAACCTAGGGCTCAAAACTTGAAGTTGATTAATCTAAGTTTCATCCCTTTTCCATTTCCTTGAATGCCCTCTGCTTGATCTGCAAAGTAATTATTTACTGAGCACTCATAACATATTCAGTGCTATATTAGGATCTGTGGAGACTACAGAAGCATTAGTTCTTCAAGTGACTTGCTATAAAAATAGAGCTTTATACCTGTGTATTTTGATAACCTTCCTAGAATTTTTACCTGCATTCACTATTTATTTTTATATTTTTGCCCTATTTAGTCAAATTAATACTTCATCTTAGAATATCACAAATGAAGTGTGAAGAACTATAAACCATGGGGAAATCATGTCAGATTCAGTTTTCCCATATACATGTATGAAAACAACACAGTGAATCCCACCATCATGTACATCCCTAAGAAAGGGATCCTAACTAGAATATGATATATTCCACGGTTGTATAATTATATCAAAATTAATTCTAATGTCGTGTATAACTAAAAAGAACCAACAAAAAAGCTGAAAAAAAGAACCATAAACAAGGATTCCAAAACTTCATTGACCTCATTTAGGAGTCATTCAGCTAGTGTACTGTAGCCCTGTGACCTTTCCATACTCTGAAAAACAAAGTACAGTTAGTAGTGGTCAGAACAATTTCTATGGGCCTCATGATAATTACAGCTTAAGTTTACTGTATTCCAGGAACAGCTGAAATGTATATTTACACATATAAATATATTAATAATTTATATACACTATGTAATTTATAAACTAGTACACATATTTATATTATAATATGTAATATTTTGTATTATATATTTAATATAGAAGCTGTTAATTATATTTATGTTTAACATAAAGTGTATTTATATATGTTAAATGTGTGTGTATACATATGTATACACACACATACACAAGTCTTATGAAATGGGTCCTATTATAATCACCATTTTATATACAATGAAATTGAGGTTCAGAGATTTAAATCATTTGCTATAGATCACACAGCTTGTGGATCTGTGTATTAGATCTTCTTTACAGTGAGTTCCTTTTGATATTTCAGGTAAGGCAACACAAGCAGTACACCCAAGAAGAACTTTTCCTCCACTGAACCTCATTCCATCATATCAGCCTGTTGTGTTGAGGGTCTAACTGGAGATCAAGCTCAGATAATGTCTTCCTATGATATTAATTTATAATGAAGCTTCATTATATAAAAACTATGAAATGGCTCTGGTGTTGACAACATCCACCATCAGCCAAAGATTAAGATTCTTAATACTACCAGTTTTCCATATATAAATATATATATATATATATATATATATATATATATATATATATATATAGTACCTTTATTGTATTAATTTGTTTTATGCATGTGCTAACCAGTGAGCTTCAATTCCAGCCCCCCAATTTCCCATTTTATGTTACATATTTTTTGTCATCTTTTCTTTTGCAGAGTGATGTATGGTCTGTTGGAATCACTGCTATTGAAATGGCTGAAGGTGCTCCACGTGAGTAAAAATGTTTGATATTTGTTAAAGGCTAGGGAAACATACTGTACAAACTTGATTATCTGGAAGAAGATGATACTGCCACTTGTACTATTCAGGTTTACTGAACACACAGGTGTCACACTACATGCCAAACTATTAATGGTAGCCTTTTCAGTGATTACTAAATGCTTTTGTCATAATTGCTGAATTTGAATACATAAAACTAGCTTGTGATTTTCTTTCTTATACTTTATTTAGGCTGACTGAGTGCTGTTTCAGTTTAGCCTCACAGTATTTGGTTCTGACTGTCCTGAGCAACCCAAAACAAAGGCATCCCAATCTATATTTACTGATGGAATATTTAGGTTCTAGAATGTTTATGGTCACACTATACTACTGCTAAAGGCTAGGATAGTTGAAAAAATCCACCAGTGGATCATTGAAATTGAACCAATCCTCAACAATATTGGGAATTAAGTATTTTTCCCCTTTGGAAGCAATTCAACTCACTTATTTCCTCCCTTCAGCTACCCCAAAACCCTTGATAATTTAATCTTATATTCCGCACCTCCCCATCATTTAAATTACTTAGTGACATGCCATCCTCTCAAGGCACTGTTTCTGGTAGGAAAGTGAAATGTGAACTTGAGTGTAAATGATTGATATTCATCTAGTGCATGGCTCCATAACATTTGCTGTCCTCAGTATTTAAATCCAAAGGTATAAATGATAATGCATTCCTGGTATTGTTGTGACAGGAGTGAGGAATGCCTTCAGGGATGTGTGGGGTAGGGGCTTTGCTTCCTCCTCTCCAAGCAGATCTAATATGCTCCCACATTCCTACACACTCCATCTGCACAGCATCTACCTGCCAAGCTTAATAAATTTGGATTAACATTGTGTTTCAAGGCCAATGGGAGTTTCAAGTAGAAATAGTGGTAACATAATTTTTGAATTTCTGATATTCCTTGGAATACCAAAAAGGGGCTGAATAAAAGCTAGGACAGTTGTGAAGATCTGTTTCTGTTTTAATGACCTCCAAACTGCAAAGTACCTAAGTTGGATGAATAAAAAATTAATGATGGAGGGGGCTTGGGTTGTGGCTCAGTGGTAGAGTGCTTACCTAGCACATGTGAGGCAGTGGGTTCAATCCTCAGCACCACATTAAAAAATAAATAAAATTAATAAAGGTGTCCAAAAATTTTTTTAAAATATTAATGTTGGAAAATATTAAAATGCAAAATTTACATATACAAAAAATTTATAAATATTAATGATGGAAAATATTAAAATGCAAAACTTACATATACAAAAAATTTATAAATATTAATGATGGAAAATATTAAAATGAAAAACTTACATATGGCACATATATAAAATTGAAACTGTAGAGATGCAACTTATTCCTAATCATCCCCTAATGATTTCTGTTTGGAAAACATGCTTAGATTATGTTAGGTTGTGAAGCACCAGACAGCTTTTCCTACTCCCTCTTCTCTTATACTTCCTCCTCCTCCTCAATCTCTCTTCACTCTGTCCCTTTCTCTCTCCTTAAATGCAGAGTATCACATTTCATATAAGTATTGCATGAATTTGGTTAGGATACATAACTGTATCAAATAGTCATGCAAGAGACATGTCTGCATCTTTTTTCCCATTGTTTCTGATTACTCTTCAAAAAGTCTTTCATTTTGAGAAAGAAAATGAAATATTTTTGTCTTAAATATTAAATCATGGGGGAAAAGCAATGAGCAAACTTACAGAGGGAGTACATAGAAGTCTTGCATAGAATATGCAAATGGTAAGCTTCTTGCAAAAGACCAGTGAGGACCAGAAGATTCATAACCTACAGGGACAGAAAATAAGGTCACTATGCCTGGATAAATATGTGTAGTGTTGGATCTTTGATCATGAGCAACTCTAGATAGGCACTCCACTAAAATTTTTCTTTCATCACCCTCCTTTACTGCCTGGAGCATTAACTTTGCATGAAAGTGATTTTCATGAATTTAATTGTAGCAATCCTCCAAGTTCTGATAATAATAATTTCAGAAGGAATGGCTATGTAACGCAACAGTTATCTGATAACAAAATGATTTCCCTCTGTTCTTTGGTAAGTCTTTCCCAGAGAAATAAGAGTAAGAATAAATTCTCAATGAAAAGATTCTATGAAGACCTTTAGTGAAGAGAAGAACTGGACTCTTGCATACCAGGACTACCTTCAGTCCTTAGGTTCTGGGTAGCAATTCAAACAATATTGGGGCCTTTAAACCAAGGCCAGAATATTGCTAGTAGTCAACTAATGTTGAAGATATATTCTTCTTATTATTATAGATGTACATCTTTTCCTGAAAGAGAATCAGGTTAGGGTTATCTTCCCTTTCTTGTCAAGTCTACATCAGCAAATTTACCTTAATCTCCCACTGTATCTTTCCCAATTTTAGCATTTTTCTTGATATTGTAGAAATCATTCTTAATATTTTCAATCATACTTGTTTAGTGTCTGACTTCTATTCCTTGCTGTGTCCCTCCCGCACGCCCTATGTCAATCTTTTCCTGAACACCTCATGATTCAAATTTACCTCTGACCCTTCAAGAGGCTCATTTCTTCAGTATTCAGAAGTCTTCAGATCTCAACATGTTAGGAATAAACTGCATTATTTAACCTAATTTAAACTAAGCTCAGTTTAATATGTGCCCAACCCCGTAAGAGACGTGTTTTTAAAAGAAGCTTTGCTATTTCAAAGGAATGGGCCTCTAAAATGGTGAACATTTAAGCAGTGTTATGAGATATGTGCTGGCGGGGGAGGGGGGACTCACTGACATTTCTAAAATTAGGCCACATAGGAAACCATGCATAGCTGCTGTTGACATAGCTCTTTTACCCACCCTATGCTCCATTCTTTTGTGACTTTTTTGTTTCCATTGGAAAAAAGGCTTGCCTGCCCTATGTGCTAACTCTTGACCTCTGAAGATGTTGTCAGTTGACTGAATGTTGCTCAAATGTTAATAAATGACAACTGTTTAATATTGTACAAACTCATAATATGTTTAAAGGACAGGATTGGGTGACTGATTGGACACAGTAAAGGAATTAAAAGAGCCAAATATGACCCTGATATTTTGGGCTTGGTGCTAATTCTGCCCTCAATTATAAGCCTGAACCTTCTATTTATTTATACTCGTGTAATTGAGAACAAAGCTTGAACTTTGAACAATTGTCTTTATATCACCCTAGTAAAATAATTCTAGTGAGGGTTTTTTTCCCTACTACTGAGAGGTCTGTTTGACACTGTAGGTTTTCTAAGGAATGCATTTTGGGAGAGGAAGGATGATTCTATTAAGAATTGTTCATATCAAACTGTCCTCTCATGAATGACATGCTTGTAGTGTTAGATGACATTTATATTAATGGTCTCTGTTGGGGAAGTTTTGCACTGCCAGCTTCCTTTAATCAAAACACAAGAGGAAATAAGTGAAGTGATACACATATTTTGACACTTATGGAAAAACCCAGAATTCCCAAACCAATGAGGTAATTAATTTATATAGCTAATATCGAAATAGGCTTTTCTTTATATGCCATGTGTATGAAAAAGAATGAGAGTCCAGTAATTTGACACAGATATGAATTGCCAGATAAAGTTTTTATCATAATATTAATAGTTAACATTTATTAAATACCTACTACATACCAGACAGTTTCATTCTTTAACTACATATTCTACTTTTCCGACTATAAATACCTACATTGAGGGAACAAGGGATTGTATTTATCTCTACTTTTAATTAACTTTTCTAATGTAGATCAACCACACATTTCAAAATTCTTATCTAATTGAACTTATTATTTGTCACACCCAGTAATATGAAATTTTGGAATCTTATATAATACAATGTGTTACAATGACACTACCTTTAATTTTTTTGTATGTACTCATCCCTTAATGCCTAACAGGATATGTGAAAGAACTCTGAGAATCCCCTCCCAAATGAAGAGTGGGCTTTGTTGTTACCCTCTTTATTCTTTCTAAACCTATCTGTTTCCCTTTGCAGCTCTGTGTAACCTTCAGCCTTTGGAAGCCCTCTTCGTTATTTTGCGGGAATCTGCTCCCACTGTCAAATCCAGTGGATGGTAAAGATAAATGTGTTAATCTTCTAAATACATTGACTCAATATTTTTATATAGCAAAGTTTTTATTCATTCTATCAATCCTGTTTCACCAAAGAGATAGCCAGCCAGCTAGAAATAAATAATATCCTTCAGAATATGATGATCACATTACTGTTCTGTCATTAATGGGCATTTTTCATTTGTTTCCCCAAATGCTAACCATTTGTGAAGTTTCTCACTGTGCCTATTTAGGCAGTGAGTGACTGTGATATACAGCCCTTTTGGTTGGCCCATGAAACAAAAGAGGAATTATAGATCTACAGCAGAGGACTTGTTCCTTCAGAGTGGTACTGGACAGCTAAACTTGGAAATTCTCTCTGAAGCTGTTGACCTAGTACCTTAAGCTCTTGCTTTATTTTCAGTATTTATTACTTTTCCTGATTGAAATGGTAACTATGATTTGATTATTGACATTCTTCCTTGTAATTCAATTTAACCCTTTCTACAGATTCAGGCTTTCTGGCAATATCCTTTCTGTGGGCCATTTTATAAGATCAGTTAGTCCTGGTTAGTTAGCACCCTCTTATTGTATCATTATATCCATGCTTCTGCAGCTAAAATTTCATATAGTAAGTTAAATATTCTGGCTTCAGTGGATGACTATTGTAGGATGACCAATCTAGTCTCACAGACTATATATATATATATATATATATATATATATATATATATATATATATACACACACACACACACACACACATACACACACACACATACATACACACACACATACACACACATTAACCATTTAATTGCCAGAATACCACATGTGTTTTTACTATGTGCATGCTTCTGAAGCCATTGAAATATTTACTATTATTTGGGTAGAAAATACTTTCTTTTTCTGAGGTATAAATGACCTCATTTTATAATGTATATTTTTAAACTGCAGGATATTGGCTGATTGAAAGGACTATGATAACTAGAGACAACTCTTATTAAAAAAAATGACTTTCAGAGAGGCATGGATGGGGTTGGGGGTGGATAGAGGTATGGCAAGCCTAAAAATGCTCTTTCTTTCCTTTTATTCATTTATTTTAGGTCCCGCAAGTTCCACAATTTCATGGAAAAGTGCATGATAAAAAACTTCCTGTTTCGCCCTACTTCTGCAAACATGCTTCACCACCCATTTGTTCGGAACATAAAAAATGAACGCCATGTTGTTGAGTCATTAACAAAACATCTTACTGGAATCATTAAAAAGAGACAGAAAAAAGGTATAATCTATGAGGTTTCATTTCACTGAAATGAATATTCAGATGATATCAGAATTTACTGGTTTTAGGAAAAAATTAGGTTGAAAATAAAAGGTCTGAGGCCTTCAATATTTAGTTTCTCCAACAATTTATTCTAATGGTTAACTTTTGCCTGAGTGTTTATATATGAGATTATTCATTGCTCCTAGTTATATCTGGCAAGCATTTGTATTTATGAAGACATTGAAAGTCTCAAATAGAATTTCATCATGTGATAATGTCATTTTAAGTAAAGCCCTAATAAAGATATTTTAATTGACTCTATGGAGATAAATAGGTTTGTACTTAATCATTTATTAACTGCCAATTTGAAGTAATGTTTGTATATCACATAAAGCTCATGTTATGTACTTATCTCCAACTATGAGATATAATTAAAGGAATTAATTTATACTAACAGAAGCAAAATTCTATCTATTGATGTTCAAAATGACAACATGGCTTTCCACCAGTCCTAGGAGAAACTAGTCTGGAAGCTCTAACTTTGTTTTGTGGCACATTCTACATTTACTTTCAGATACCACAGGCTAGGTCCAAGGAAACAATGGAGTTGAAATGGAGAAACTACAATGATAGCAGGTGTCCTCAGATCAACTCCAGGATTTATCATAGTGGTGCTTGTTCTATCTGCATAACTATAAGTATCCTGTTTTCAAGTAAGGAGCAGCCAGATTATTTATGCTTCTAGTGATGAAATCGTTGGACCAGCATTACAGAGGCCAACCAATCCCAAATGAGTGCAGAAAAACCATAAGTCTATTTGATAACTTCCTAATATCTGGAGTTGCAAAATGTCCAGAACATTACCTATAGGAAAAGTCCCAATTAGATAGAGGTTACCCTGAAAAATGTAAACATAGTGTCCCCAATATTTTAATATAGGAAATCCAAAGCAAAGCTCTTGATGATAAGCTTCTATAGTTCAGTAGTGACAGCAAAACTCATAGAAAAAATGAATATTTTAAATGTATTAAGTATAAAACCCAAAATGAAGGTTTTATCTTCTTCTTATAAAGACCCAATGTTAATCCTGAGCCACAAAGTTTTACATATAGATCATATAGCTGGAAGCTATGCCCACCAACCATCTAGAGCTTCTCTTGTCTCATTCTTTTATTGCCCCATTCTTGCTTCTTTTCCTAGAATTGTAGCAATTGTGTAGCCAAATTTTCTTTCCTATGTCCAGAAAAATTAATCTGCCTGTAATAGCAGTACTATATTGTAAAAGTGGGCCTGATAGAATATTGTATAAAGTACCAAGCAAGTGTTTTTGAAGGCCTACTTTCTTCAGTGCCTTCTTGCCTCTGTAAATTCTATATCCTGAGCATTTAGAGTATACACAGTAACTAAGGTGGATTAAATTAAATGCATTTCACTGAGTGTTTATACATTATTTCTTTCTCTTTCATAAAAAAGGGATACCTCTGGTCTTTGAAAGAGAAGAAGCTATTAAGGAACAGTACACCATGAGAAGATTCAGGTGTGTTAAACAAATTACATATATATTTTATGGTAGCAATTTACACATGGCAATTGATTCCATACTGTTGCCTTTTACTCAGAACAACTATATGCCAGATCTCTGTTTCAATGAGATATTGAGTGGAAATGTTGAGAATTTTCATGACTACTCAATGACACCTTAATAAGTGGTAATAGAATAATCAAGTATATTATCAGGGCTGGGGTTGTGGTCAATGGCAGAGCACTTGCCTTGCACATGTAAGGCACTGGGTTCCATCCTCAGGACCACATAAAAATAAATAAACAAAATAAAGATATTTTGTACATGTATAATTAAAAGATATTTTTAAAGTATATTATCAGACTCCACTAATAATTTAATACATTAAGCATTATAAATGTTTGCAAAAAGATAGTTCAGATGTTACAAGAATGATTCCACAAAGATTTACTGAAAATATATATTTTCATAGAAAATATATTTTAAAATAATAGTTCCTTGAATGACTCCATTCCACTAAAGTTTCGAATTGTGTGGCAATCATTTGTTTATTTCAGAGGGCCCTCTTGTACTCATGAGCTTCTGAGATTGCCAACCAGCAGCAGATGCAGACCACTTAGAGTCCTGCATGGAGAACCTTCTCAGCCAAGGTGGTTACCTGATCAAGAGGAGCCACAGATCCAGGCACTTCAGCAACTACAGGGAGCAGCCAGGGTATTTACGCCACTACAGGCTCAGGACAACGCACGTAGGCCTCTACAAGGGCAGGCTCAGGCACCTCAACGACTACATGGGGCAGCTCAGGTGTTTATGCCACTACAGGCTCAAGTTAAGTCTAAGTCATCTAAGCCTTTGCACATGCAGATGAAGGCACCTCCACGACTTCGGAGGGCAGTCCGGGTGGTCATGCCACTACAGGCTCAGGATGAGGTTCCTAAGCCTCTACAGGTTCACACCCCAGAACCCAAAGAGCAGCAGACTCAGGCCCACATCCAGAGCCAGGCATCAGAACAGCCTCAAGATCTAGATCAGGTGCCAGAGGAATTTCATGGGCACAATCAGGTTCCTGAACAACAGCAAAGGCAGGGCCAGGCTGCTGGACAACAGCAGAGGCAGAATCAGGTCCCTGAACAGCATCTGGAGCAAAACCAGGCACCTGAACAGCCAGAGGTACAGGAACAGGCTGCTGAGCCTGCACAGGCAGAGGCAGAGGGGGAGGAACCTGAGTCATTGAGAGTACATGCCCAGGTGTTCCTGCCTCTACTGTCACAGAACCACCATGTGCTGTTGCCACTACATTTGGATACTCAGGTGCTCGTTCCAATAGGAGAGCAAAATGAAGGGTCCTCTCAGGCACAGGGCTGGGCACTAGAGCCCTCACAGGCAGTTGACTCAGTTCAAGCACTGATAGAAGGACTATCAAGAGACTTGCTCCGAGCACCAAACTCAGATAATTCAAAGCCACTTGGTCTGCTGCAAACCCTGATGGAAAACCTGTCATCAAACATGTTTTACTCTCAACCAGAACAGGCTCGGAAGAAGAAATCAAAAGTTTCTAGTCTAAGACAAGCTCTGGCAAAAAGACTGTCACCAAAGAGGTTTAGGATAAAGTCATCACGGAAACATGAAGAAATTGAACTCTCAGATTTAGAAGCTTGCAGGCAAAGGCGCCAACGCAGATGGGAGGACATCTTTAATCAGCATGAGGAGGAATTGAGACAAGTTGAAAATGTAAGAGTGCTTGGCATTTTTAACTGATTGAAAAATTCTTATGTTTGATTTTTTTCCTTTGTAAAACCAAATAAAATATAATTATTTGTTTTCTAATTAGTATCCCCTTAACCAGTAAAGAGATACTATATGCATATTTTGATATTTAAACATTACTTTCGTAATTTAAATTTCAAAGATACGTGTTTTATATTTCTCTATCCCTGAAGTTATTTTATTTGTTCTTTCTTGCTGTGGAATGCTAGACTGTGTGAATAAATGAATACAAATTTTGTACATATTATAATGAGAAGGAAAAGTAGTTTCCCAAACATTTTGTAGACAGTATTTACCAGGTTTATGACTTGTTTAAAAAGAATTACCACCCATTTTGCAAAATTAATCAATGGTATAACTGCACAGACCATGAAACAAGTTATAACTTGGTCTCTGCACCCTTTTGAAATATGCAATACATTGTGTTAACATCTCTTATTTAAGAATAAATCTTCATTCTTTCAAAAGCTTATAATTTAAATGAATGCAATTTGATGGAGCTGTTGAATTTAATTTGGCAACTTTAATGATAATAGTTTGTGAGCTTGATAAGCAAATTAATGATTTTAGACAAGATTAGAAAAACAGTTGTTTGCTAATACTTTCTATTTTCCCCATTTATGTAAAAGAATTACTGTGATGATACTAAATTAAACACTGTTATCTACTTCCACTTACCTAATAACAATTCATGTGGTAATTACAAATGAACCTTGTCTGAATATCTACATAAGAATTCTTTAGGTTTGTGCACATGGAATCAATTGAACAAATGCTAATTCCCTGGCATGTTTAGCATGAAAAAAAGTAAAAGCAGCAAAAGAAAGGCCAAAATGGGGCCTTCTAACTCCTAGAATATAAAGAGAAAGAAAGCAGATGGAGAAGGAAAAGTATGAGTCTGGAATGGTGATATTTCCCAGAAATTAAAGCCTCTAACATGCTAATATTTTCAATGAACGCTGTTAACCACTGAAGATATAATGGGCTTTCATTAGTGGGAAAAAAACACACCTTTATTTATCTCTCAAAAGTTGGGTATCACCAACATAACACATACTTATTGTCATATATTGTTTTCATATATATGTGAGAAGCCATTTTATAATAGAAGGAAAAGTTAATAAATAATAGATACCAATCCCATGACCCTAGCATCTTGAACAATCATTCAAATCTTTTTGTATGATCCTTAATAAATCACAAAAGAAAAGTATTGAAACTACCTATACTTGAAGTCATAGGTCTTTTGAAATACCTGAAATTTAGTTTAAAATTTAGAGGCATTTGTAGATGCTTCGGCTCACCATCAGAAAACACACACACACACACACACACATGCACACGCACACGCACACACACACACACACACAAACACACACACACACACAAAAAAAAAAACACATGTGTTCATTACCCTCTTTGACTTGAAGGGATAATACTGATTGACCTAAAAGAAAAAAAAAATATCCTGAATTCTTGGAGATCAATTAGGGAGGAACTTTAACACCTTTATACCACAGATAGATCTTTCATTACTCAAAATGACCAAACGTTGGAGTTTCTAACAGTTTAGTAAATGCAAAGCTTTATTGAGGATTATGAGTTAATCAAGGCTTAGAGCAGAAATTCTTAATCTGGATCCCACAGATGAGCTTCAGTAGGTTAGCAATCCCCCTGAAAACATATGCAAATCTGTTTCTATATGAAGTTTTCTATGGACAATTTGTAGCATTCCTCAGATTTTAAGTGAGATCCTAATTCAAAACTCTTAGAAACTACTGGTTTAAATCATTTTTAAAATTTGGAAATTAATCTTTTCAACTGTATATTATGATGATGCAGTTGTTACTTTTGTTTGTATTTTAACAAAAATTAAAATATTTATGCTACTTTTTGTTTCAAAGGACAAAGAAGATGAATCATCAGACAATGATGAAGTATTTCATTCAATTCAGGCAGAAGTACAAATAGAACCATCACAGCAACATGATCCAAACCCTAGAGAAGATGAGGTAAATTTCTCAAAATGAATTTCTATGACATTAGGAGGAGCATATAACAGTGATTCTTAAACTTTTTAAAATATTTTGTTTCAGTTGTAGTTGGATACAATATCTTTATTTTATGTATTTATTTTTGTGTGGTGTTGAGGATCAAACCTAGCACCTCACACATGCTAGGCAAGCGTTCTACTGTTGAGTCATAACCCCAGTCCTGGTTCTTAAACTTTTTAGTCTTAGAAACTGTTATAATCTTAAATATTGAGCACTCCGAAAAGCTTTTGTTTATCATATAGAGTATATTATTCAATATTTAACAGTAGAAATTAAAACAAAATAATTAAATATATACTAATTTATTTCAAAAATAATGAAATGATTACATGTTAATATAATAAATAAATTTTGATGAAAAATATTTATATTTTCTAAAACAAAATTTGAGAGATGTAACCATTTTATTTCTTTGCAGAGTTCTTTAATTTATCTTGTTTAATGGAAAACAGCTGGGTTCTCATATCTGCTTCTGCATTTAATTGTTGTCATATGATGTTTTAGTTCTAGTATATTGAATAAAATCTAGTTTCTCACATATAGATAGTTGGAAAGGGAGACTTTTTGTAGATATCCCAAACTATTGTGCATATTCTTTGATATACCAAAACTAAAGAAATGAAATCTAAAGACATATCAATGAAATTCTGTATAATTAGTAATATTAAAATGCATTGGTCTATCTTGTGCTGGAATTAGATGTTTTGCTTATGCATGAATTTTCACTTTATGCATTTGTCAGTTGGAAAATATTGGCTAACTGCCTGTATTGATCTTCCCAAATGCTTGCATGTTTAATTATACAATATGAAAAAAAAAAATGTTAATATCATTAGCAATTTCATCATGAATATAATTGAGTATTTGTAAGCTGTCAAGTGCTCAGTGGCAGATATAAGTTGAAAAATTGTAATTTTCTTGTGAAAACTTAAATTTTATCATCACCAACAAATAGCATCATTTTTTTTAAATCAACAGGCTTATTTCACTCATTTAAAATAAAATGTCTACAAAATGCCCATAATTTGAAAGATCATAGTTTGTCAGTCATTCCTTAAGTAGAAATATTGCTCATAAAAATGTGGATAACATAAATAGGCATAACTTTCTCCTTGATTGTATCTGTTCTGGGATACCGTTTGTGACAGAGTTTGGATAATTTAATCTGTGATTTATTTCCTCACACTTATGGGAATAATTAGTTCATTCTAGCATCCAGGTTAACTTCTGTTTCCATGACTTCATTAACAGTATCCTAATTAGCACATGATTTGGTGAGGCCAGTGTGGTAAGTTCAGTTCTTATGTGTACAAGGTAGTGTTATCACTGCCAGTGTTCCTAACAGCCAGACATCTAAAAAGTCTTAGTCACTAAGATGGATTGGGTGAATATGTAAAGAACATAAACTCCCACTCTGTTGATGGTGAATCAGGAGCATCATTGTTGTTCCTAATTAGCATAAGATATTCATTAGCAAAAGAGGCTTCATAGGAGTCTATTATGAAGTCTTTCATGGAAAGTTCACCTTTTAAATATAATTCCCCAATAATAACCTTCCTCTGAAGTGAATAGTTAAAATATTTATTTATAGATACGAATCATTTGCAGAAGTAGATTGTATTATTTAATGAGAAGAGGCAATATGTTTTCTTCACTGTATTAGCAAATGAGTTCCCTTATACTCTTAGGTAACTATTTAAGTATGAGACTGTAAGCAGGGAATCTAATGAGCTGTGTTTATTTGAGAATATATTATAAGCCATTTTTACTAATAATGCTCCTCTTCCCATTTATTAGACCAGACATAGACAGCTCATATTAGGCCTTGTGTTTGCCACTTTGAGCCATATCTGTTTTGAGTGATTTTGGCCTTTGGTTTAAGAGTGTCAATAAACTTCTTAAGCTGGACGTGATAAAGCATGCTGCTTGGAGGTGGGAGGATCACTTGAGTCCAAGAGCTCAAGGCCAGCCTGGACAACACAGCAATACCCTGCCTCAAATATATACATACATACATATATACCTAAAATTCAATACAATAAACCTCTTGAGATCACCTTCATAAAACCAAAAGGATTAGATTGGGTCAATATGACTCCAGCTATCTGTACTGAAGGTATAAAAAGTTTGTCAGGTAGACATTTAAACTTCATACTGCCAAACATCTGGTTATATTTGGAAACACTCATTAGTAAAACATGTGGAAGATTGATAAGATTTTTCATTTTTCATCAATCTGTCTGCTGGAGTGTAAAAACAGCCTTGAAAAAGTCACTTCACAGTGAAAAATAGTATACTAAAGCTACTACAGTTTCTAGAAAATAGAGTGATTTTATCAGCATGAAAATGCTAGATTTTTTTAAAGTGTAAAATGTTGAAATTGCCTTTCTAAAGAATTTAGTGTGATGTTCTCGTTGCATGACAGAATGATCTATATTTTGAGTAGCTACAAACTATTGTGAGTAGAAACCTAGGTATATAAAACTGCATGAAGCAAGGAAACATTTCATGGCCCTCTCTGCCAATATTGGCAGAAAGTAAATTTGCCTCATTGATGTGATGAAAACTGGCTCATTATATGTGCCCTTTCTTGAGTGTTTTGCTGTATTGGATGGATTTATAAATAGTAAAATCCAAATTTATTGAGAAGCAAAAGTATTTGGAATACTGATTATGACAGTACAAATTGTAAAATTAAAAAAGGACTTTTAAAAGTGAGACAATTTTGATTTTTGAGAGATTTTAATGATGTGCATGTATGTGTGACAGCATTTCAAAATCTAGGATTAGCTTAAACATGTAAGAAATTTTAACTTAAATTCTTAAATTTGAGTGAGAAGTATGGACTTGATATAAAAAATTAATGTGATAACATGGAAAAAAACTAAATTAAGAGTTGGGAGGCCTGCATTCTGATTTTAGATATTTCTTTGACTTCATGCAATATTCTTAGAAAAGCCATTTTCCTTCTTTGGGATACAGATTCCCCAACAACAAAATGAGTGATTTTGATAATATGCTCTCAAGAATCTGTTTGTATAGTAAAATTCAAAGGAATCATTTGAAATTAACCTGGGTGGTGGGGCATGCCTATAATCCCAGCAGCTCAGGAGGCCTAGTCAGGAGAATCGTGAGTTCAAAGCCAGCTCAGCAACTTAATGAGGCCCTAAGCAACTTAGTGAGGCTCTGTCTCTAAATAAAATACAAAAAGGGCTTGGGATGTGGCTCAGTGATTGAGTGCCCCTGGGTTCAATCCCCAGTACCAAAAAAAGAAATTACAGCTAAGCAGTTCCAATGTTGTACTATAAATAACTATGAAAATAGAAACTATCTATAAAAATTATATTTTGTAAGTCATATTTTTATAAACAAATATATATATATATATATATATATATATATATATATATAGAATGGCATTTTTTAAATTAGTAACTCAAATAATTTATGATTGAGAATTTTACCTAAGAATTACATTGTGTTTTCAAGGTCCAAGAGATGCCAGCTTCCGTGCCTTATAACCAGGAACGTCCACAACGTCCACACCGTGTCAAGTTCAATTCAAGGTATGTGTCTGATTTTGTATTCAAGTTATTCATGATTATCACATGGAAAAGTAAACTTTGTTTATTTGACACGAAGTGCTATGTGAAACAAAAACTAAAATATCAATGACAACATCACCAGCACTGTCATGATTGTCCCACATTTAAAACTTAACTACAATGATTCAATAACTACATCTTTCACATTTGGTCATACTCCAGTCCCCATATCATTTAGTTGATAATTAGCTAGCAAAATCCACAATATAAATAAAACAATTATTTGAATCATTTGTCAATTTTCAATTAGTAATTGGCAACCAAATAACTTGAAATTTCAAGTGAGTTTTCTTGCATGTACTACATGATAAACACACACAAGTCTTATCCCCATCTGCAGAAGCTAATGCCACAGAATGGGCAAGCCCGAAAATGACTTTAGAGACAAAATTTTATCTAAGACTCAATATTTTATGAATAAGATATCATATGTGACATTGACACCAGTCCCTATATTTTTATCTTTGTACTATTCGTGATCTTTAGTAATTTTCAAAGATCATTTATATATATATATATATATATATATATATATATATATATATATGTGTGTGTTGTGTATGTATATCACAGATACATATACATATACATACATACCTTTCCCATATAGAAAAGCCAAAGTGACTATAACATGTAGCAATGTAGCATGATATTTGAATTTGAATAGCAAGGACTAAAGTTTCCTCCCTTTCTATCCACCCATCTAAATCATGAATAGTGCATTAAATGTAAGCTCTAAGCATTTGAAATCAAGAAATAATAGTAGAATATTTGACATATTAATAACTTAATAGATTTACCATGTTAAACATTGTAAGTTTTTCACTGTGTTTCTCAGGTAATAATGTCTGAATAGTACCTTAAAGAAAGTTTATACAAATGTTAAGAAATAAATATGGCATGTGAAGGAAAGGGGCTATATGGAAACGTGTTTTTTTTCTGTTTCAAAAATCATTTCTCTGTTCTCGATAATGTAACAAGTTTGGAGAAAATTGGAAGTTGAAAAAGATTACTTATACTCGATTTCTCTTCAGTATGATATATATATATATATATATATATATATATATATATATATATATATA